TGCTATAGTAATGAAACACATATCATCTTGTAGCCAAAAACCAGGGCTTTCGATCTATCTTAGAAATATCTTAGTAGCAAATCGCTCCCTGTTACCTAAATCTCGGCCAAAGTTAAAAATCAAATTTTTCAGACGTAAATTTCTGGAGGTCATGTGATATTTCCGTAAATCTACGCCTAATAAATTTCCTGATGAACTAAGGTCAAATCAAATCAAACGGGTTTTGTATTACTTGAATTTATTTTCACTAATGATAATGAAAATGGATATAATGAGAAAGATGTAATATGGTTTGAATCATCAGAAAAAAAATGGATATCAATAGTAGATAAATTAGTAATTTCATACAGATCATTAATTGTAAAACCTAAATAAAATAAGATTAGTATCTTATAAATTTTTTCCAAAATCAGATAAGTAGTTAATGAAATTATTATTTTCAGCAATGCGAGATAAAATTATGAACCTCTCTTCAAAAAATAAGTAAGTTGATTCAATTGAATATATATAGTGCAAAATCGAAAATATTGATATTTTAGAAAGGGGGCTTGATACATTATCTATGTGTAATGTTATAAATAAAGCATTAAATGATGCATTAGGATGGGACCTTGGAATTGTACCAAATATTGCCTTCACACATAATTCTGATCATATAACAAAAGATGAGCAGGGTGTAGAGTATCTGATTACAGTAACAGGTAATGTTGTAGTTATTGATGATGAAAAAACTAATTATCTTTTATATATAAGAACACCATGGATCCAAAAAGTTAAAGAAATTCCATATATAAATAGATATGAATTTCAAATGGTAATTTGAAAAAAATCTTATGTTATTTCTACCTTTACCAAATCAATTGGAAATAATATTTTATCTTGTAAAACTGATACTAAATAAGAGCCAACATCTAATAAAAAGGTAGAGTCCTAAGTCTTTTATTTATCTACTGAAAAATTAGCAGAACCAATACCAGAGGTGCAAAAAAAAAAATACATGAATTGTAAAAATATGACTATCCATATAAAGGAAAAGGCACTATTTACTAGTGTTCAAACTAATTCAGAATTTATTGAATATTATAATAATTTACATAATCAATATGAAACAGAAATTAATTCTAAGTTTTTAAATTAGAAATAAATAGTTTAGATATGTCAACATGTGTAACTGCTCTAATTTTTTTAACCTCTTTTTGTATTTTCTTATAAAATTCAAAAGGATCTTTAGTTTCTTGTAAGGTTTCAAATAATATAATTTCTTTTTTACTTCTATTGATATTTTATCTAGCTTTTCAATTTTACAAAGTGTGAATGTTTTCATATCTTGATTTTTATCAGTAGGAAGCTGATCAGAAATACAAATAGGCTTGAATTTGAATTTTCTCTTTTTTTATTTCTTTCACAATTATTAATATTGAAATATCACTATCTGGATTAGCTAAAGATAGATTTCAAGTATTTGTACAAATCTCTCTTCCTTTCTATATCTGATAAAAACAAGTATTGGAAATAGGATATTTATTTCCAAGCATCTCTAAAGGTTTGGATTTTGCATCTTTGTATTATATAATATATTTATAATCAGCTGGTGATAGTTTGACTACATCAGATTACATGTTTTAAGGATAGTATCAGTAATATCAGTAATATCAGTAATATCAATAATATCAATAATATTGGTAATATCAGTAATATTAGTAATATCGGTAATATCGGTAATATCTATTACTTAGTATTTATATATTTTTCAGAATATATGAAAAAACATATGACCAATGTACACTCACCTAGCAAAAGTATCTGACCACTTAAAAATTATTAATTGCAAAGTAAATTTTTATCCGTTAATAACTCGTGATCTAACATATAAAAATGAGTCAACTTTTTTTTATTTAATTCCCC